GTTCTAAAAGACACCAAGTTATTTCAGGGTGTGAAAACTGCAGAAGGAAATCAAATGAAATTTTAAAAGGAAAGATAATGGCGTCAATTTAATGTATCAAAAATGATACATAAATGGATAGTTTCCTTAGTACCTTCACAGGGCTTGAGATTAAAAAAAAAGACACACACAGAGTTGGATTTTAAGATTATCTCAAATATGTAAATAAGTCCTATGTACATATTTAGAATTATTTACCTGGCTTTATCACTATTAAATGAGAAGACTATAGATGTAAGGATGGCAGTTAAGAAGCATGAAGGGGAGTTTTAGAACTTCCGGGTTAACCTGAATTGACAAATCAGGCTACAGATATGGGGAGGAAATTTTCTGAAGTAATACCAGAGTTAGAATTTGGGACTCTGATGTCTTGGCATTTTCATAATCTATTAACTAATAAATTTCTAATCACTTCTTAATTTCTTATGTTACTGTTGAAATGGAGCATGGTGTTTGCTTCTCTTTATTTTGCATCCTTTAAAAAAATTACTTCTTTGTTTATTTGAAAGGCAATGTGACAGACAGAGAGAGACAGAGAGAGGTTTTCCATATGCTGATTCACTGCCCCAGTAACCACAACAGCCAGATCTGGGGCAGACCAAAGTCAGGAGCCAGGAACTCCATCGATATTTCCCATGTGGATGGCAGGGGCCCAAGCTCTTGGGCCATCTTCCCATACCTTCTGAGGTGCATTAGCAGGGAACTGAATAGGAAGCAGAGTAACCAAAACTCAGATATGGGATGCCAGTGTCACAGCAGCAGCTTAACCAACTGTGCCACAGTGCCAGCCTCCTATTGTGCATTTTTAAATTTATGTATACAGTAATTAATTTCCTCCTAGTGCCAGACTGTTTCCTAGGTACTAAATAAGCAAAAGTGCAGTACTCACAGTGCCTATGCTTCTATGAAGAGAACAACCTCACAGGTGGTTGTGAAAATTATGTGACTTAATATACATAAAAATGATCAGTGAGAGGAAGTCTGGTAATATTTCTGTTTTATATATGAGGAATCTGAAAGTACAGAGAGAACAAGAAACTTGCTCAGGATCACACAGCCAATAAGTGGTAGAGCTGGATTCTGTCTCACAGCCCAAGCCCAAGGGTAATATCTGTTACCTCTTCCCTGAATAAAACACTCTCGGCAACATTGGCAAAAAGTCTGAAATAGCCAAGGCACAGAGGTTCCTGAACAATGGAGAAACAACCATCAGGGTTGCTAGATTTAGTCTTGGGCAGCATTTTAGACCTGACTCTTGAGTCACGTAATCTTCCAAAACTAAGCAATTTAAGTTGCATTTCATGGAGTTACTAATACTAGACTATTTTGATCTACAAAATAGCAGATCTGTATAGTGTAGTGCAGATGCTCCTCCACTTCATTTTTCAGAAAAGATTAATTTTGGGCTGGTACTGTGGCATACTGCCAGCATCCCACAGGGGCACTGATTCAAGTCCTGGCTGCTCCATTTCCAGTCCAGCTTCCTGCTAATATGCCTGAGAAGACAGCAAAAAGTAGCCCAGGTGTTTAGCCCCCTTCACCCATGTGCTGGACCCAAAGGAAGCTCCTGGCTTCTGGCTTTGGATTTGCCTGTCTCTAGCCATGTGTCTCTCTCTAACTCTACCTTTCAAATAAATAAGACTTTAATAAAAATGTATTTATTTGAATGACAGAGTTACAGAGAGAGAGAGGGACACACACACACACACACAGACACACACAGACCCTCCACCTCTTGGTCCACTCCCCAAATGGCTGTAATGGCCATGGTTGCACTAGGCTGGAGCCAGGGGCCAAAAGCTTCATCCAGGTCTTCCATGTGGGTGACAGGGACCTAAGCACTCGAGACCATCCTCTGCCACCATCCCAGGCCATGTGAAGGGAATGGGATCAGAAGCAGAGAACAGGAACCAGAGCCTATCTGGAATGCCAGTGTCACAGGAGTCAGCTCTGCCACAATGCAGGCTCCATTCCACTTAATTTGTGTCATGAGAAATTCATCATAAATTGAAAATGTCTTAATTCAAAAATGCACCTAATACACCTCATCTACCATTGCAACTTACCAACAGTGCACTGCCTTGTGAACAGGTGGCAGATTAGGAGCAAGGCTGACAGGGAGCTTTGGCTCCTGCTGCTGCCCAGCATCATGAGAAAGTGTCCTGCAGCATTTACTAGCCCCAAAAGGTCTAAATTTGTAAGGACAGTTTCCATTGAATGTGTATCACTGTCACACAGCTGTAAAGTGAAAAAAAATTGTAAATCCACCCCCATCTTAAGCCAGGGATTGTCTGTATAATAAAAATGAATTTTATTAGCATTTCCACATAATGCACCCTCTAACATTCAGTGTTCCTCATCCTGTGTGGGGGCTTTAGCAGAAACAGGAGTAGTGAGCTGAGCTTTTGCTAGTGAAGATATTCTGAGCTAGAGGCAGATAGATGGATTCTGGGATATCACGACTAAGATAGAAGCCAGATGTGCATGTTTGTAGCCCAGAGTAACTGCCCTGTGCTGAACTATTGAGTGAGTAGTGAATCCCAGGACACAGATCCAGCCTTTTTGGATTCTAAAGCCACATATCCTTAACTCCACCCCTCTGTAGGGTTTGAATTCAGAGTCAGATGCAACAAGGTAATTTTACCTCAAAGTTTAGTTCAGCACCTAGTTCCTCTAAACTCGATGTTGGCAAACTATAGGTGTGTTTTGCAAATAAAATTTTATTGGTACATTGCCTGGCTCATTCATTTATGTATTCCCTATGCACCTGTTACATCACAGAGGTAGGGTGTAGTATTTTTGACCAAGGTCTTCCAGCCTGGAAATCTAAAATATTTAGTATTTGGCCTTTAAGAAAGAACTGTGCTAGCCTCTGTAGACAGGTAAAGTAGCATCCATTAGATTAGATCAAGAGTCTGCAAATATAGCCCATGGGACCAAACCCAACCCACTGTCTGCTTTTTGTAAGTAACAGTTTTATTGAAACATAGCTGGCCCTTTGTTGATTTGTTTGTGCTGTCTTTGACTTTTTTCTATTGCACTTATAGTCGGTAGTAGCCACAGACCTTAACGACCTTCAGAGCCTAAAAAATATTTGCCCTCTGGATTTTCTAGAAAATACTTACCAGCCCTGCATTTGATCATGGACTCTCAAAATGTTTAAACATTTGAGGGTATTTTTTTCTAGTTTCCTTGCTTTATAGATGAGAAAACTAGGACCTGGTAAAATCTTGCCTGAAGTTCTAAAGATACTTTGTTCACAATTAAGTCAATTAATGTCAATTAATCCACACCCTAAGATCTTCTGTGCTGAACTCTCTCCTTGTAAAAATTCAGCAAAACAAATTTTTTGCTTGCCTCCTGTACCTGACACCATCATTCTGGATTGTGAGATGTCTGTCTAGAAGCTAGGTCATCTGAGTTCAAATCCTGTACCTGTTTCTTTCTAGTTATTTTTTAGTGTTAGCATTGAAATGTAATGAAGTCATATTAGTGAAAAAAGGTGGAGAGATATTTAATAACCCAGTTGTTTTAGTTCTCTTATGAACAAAACGTCCTTATAAACAGGTAAATTGACCAAAAAAGGGATTTTGTTTCATTCTATAGAATTCTTTCATCACTTGTTATTATAGTTTCCTAATGTGACTCTTCTCTGAGTGGAAAAACATGAGTTCACAGTGTGATGGGCAGAGGAGAATTCTGCTTCTGCCAAGCCAGCAGCTCTGGTGGCTTAGGTGAGAGCTACTTTTCCTCTCTGAGCTGAACCTTCATTTCCTCGTTGGTGAAAGCTTTATTGGGAGGATTGAATGAAGGAACTTCAGTAAAATGCCTCAAATTGAGGTAGTTGCTATAAGAATGTTAGTTTTTTTTTTTTTACAGAAGATCAATTTAGCGTATATTAAGTAAAGATTTCCACATTTTGCTCCCACACAGAAACACAAAGTGTAAAATACTATTTGAGTACTATTTATAGCATTAATTAAACACCTAAGAGTAATTGTGTATTAATTACAGAGTTCAACCAATAGTTTTAAGTAGCATATAAAATGCAACTTTTGTATTGTTGTGGCTCCCCCCGCCAACCTCCCTCCCTCCCGTGGCCCTCCCCTCTCTCATTCCCTCTCCCATCCCGCCCTTCATCACGTTTCATTTTCAATTACCTTCATATACTGAAGATCAACTTAGTATATACTAAGCAAGGATTTCAACAGGCTGCACTCACACAATCGAACCAGGTATAGGGTATTGTTCGACTAGTAGTGTTGTTTTTGAGTTTCATAGTTAAACACATTAAGGACAGAGATCCTACGTGGGGAGCATGAACCCAGTGACTCCCGTTGTTGATTTAACAATTGGCACTCTTATTTATGATGTCAGCAATCACCCGAGACTCTTGCTATGAGCTGTCTAGGCTATGGAAGACCCTTGAGTTCACCGACTGAACTTGTTTAGTCAAGGCCGCACAGTGGAGGCTCCTTCCTCCCTTCAGAGAAAGGCACCTCTCTCCTTGATGGCCTGATCCTTCTGCTGGGGTCTTGTTCACCAGGATCTTTCATTTAGATTGTTTTTTGCCACCGTGTCATGGCTTCCCATGCCTGTGAGACTCTCATGGACCTTTTAGTCGGATCCGAATGTCCCAAGGGTTGATTCTGAGGCAGGAGTGCTGTTTTGGGCGTTTGTCATTCTAGGAGTCTGCTGTGTGTCCTGCTTCCCCCGCAGGATCAAAGAATGTTAGTTTTTTTTTTCCTTGCCTTTCATTCTGAGTGTTCTGTTACATTTGTTTGGTGACCAACAATGCTAACCATTGGAAAGTTTGTTATCCTCCTTTTCTAGAATAATTCTCAGAATGTAACCTCTCAAGATGAAATTTTTGTTTTAGTTGGCAAAGGGTGTTTTCATCTTGGGCTTAGGGCTGAACAAAGATTTCACTTTGCCTTTCCTCCCATTTTTTTTGATTGCAGTATAAAGAAGAGGGCAGAAAGGTAACCAGTTACTGCCATGAGACAATGCCAGGATGGGTGCATGATGTGCTGGGCCGAAACTGGGCTTGTTTTGTTGGAAAGAAGGTGGGAACCACCTCTGAGAATGTGAACACGAACATGGCACACTTTGGAAGTCCCCAGGAAAAGTGAGTTGTCACAAGTGAAGCATATATGCGGTGTGTTTTTTATAGTGTGCATAATCTCTGAGCATATTAATTCTTGGAAAATTTTGATTATGTAAAATTTGGCTTAGAAACATAAGTCAAGCTGTGTACAACTTTACTGGGAAAATATGCGGACTGATATAATGGAGAGAAGAAAATACTTTTTCCAAAGTACTCTAAAAGTAATGGATCATTAATGAATTTTAATAAATTTATGTTAAGGATCTCACAATTGCAAATTCCCAATAAAGAAAAATTATTAATTGCCTTGCAACAGTATGTTGCACAGTACTTGTAAATAACTTATCTTCCTGATGCAACAAGTATATTTTAAACAAGACATTAAGTAACTACAATTTATGCAGCAAGGGTTCCATGTCAAAGCATCAGAGACTGAGTGGCTCAAACAACACAAAGTTATTTTCTTACACTTTGGAGGCCAGAAGGTATCCTCTTTTTGCCCTGAGGCCATGCTCCTTGGCTTGTCCATGGCCATTCTCTTAGTGTTTTCTAACTGTATCTTAATTTCTTATTAGAAGGAGACCAGTTATGTTGTTTTAAGGCCTTACAGGTATTATTTTATTTGATGTTAGTTACTTCTCTTCGATTCAGTCAGATGCTGAGTTACTGGGGTTATTACTTCAACATATGGATTTTGGGGGATGACAATTCAGCCTGTGGCATGCACTTAATGTCCTTGTTAAACAAAGCCTACTGTAGAGTAGCTGAGCCACATGAACAAGACTTCAGACTTCATTAGTTTGGGAAGGAAAAGTTAAACAGTTATTACCTTTTCTGTTTTATTTAGTTGTAATTGCTACTGCTTCGCAGAAATGCGGAGCATGATGCAAACTAATTCATCTCTACACTTTAAGTTCAGGTTTTGAACAGCTTTTGTTTCATTTGGCTTAGTTCTTGGGCAGTGCATTTTCACCTAAGCTGTTCACTTTCACCCTGTCATTTAGGATATCCTGACCAACGTTCTCTCAGTGAGTGAACAAATTCCTCCCCCTGTGCTCTGAACTTGCACTGCCTCCCTGTAAAATGGGCATTTGGTACTAAATTACCTTCAAAGTCTCTTTCAGCTCTTAATGATCAGTAATTCCATAGCAAGGTGCATTATTTTTAATCTACTTGTATCTTAAATACAAAGAATCATAGTGTTTAAGTCCCACCGTGGAATCTTGTTATTACTGTAATGGCACTGATCTAGCATGTGAGGTTTTCTGAGTGTTATGATACCATCTAAAGTAAGGGAAGTAGGACTTAACTACTGCTTCTCAGTGAGTCAGTGAAAAAGTGACTGTAACCACTGGAAAATGTTTCAGAAAGTTTTCATTTGCAATTGGAAATTTACTCTTGTGCCTAAACAAACAGCTGGGCAACTGTAACTTGTTTTTGTTCTTGTATTAGTATTGTCAGAAATAAGATGCAAGCAGTTTTCTCATCTGTTTAAGAAAGCTGCCTTTCTAGTTTCACACTCAGCTACAAGTAAGGGAGAACTGAAAACACGAAAATATTATTGACGTGCTTGTATATTTTTCTTGGTTTTTTTTTTTTTTTTTCATGGCTTTCAGATTCTTTGACTTGATCAGAGTTCCTTTCTACAAATTTGAGAGTTAAAAAAGAAAAGTTCATAGTATGCCTGAAATGATAGTCATGTTAGATATATCTTGCTTTGCAGAATTGAATGTTCATGGTTATCTTGGACCGTGAGTTGCACTTAAACTATATAATCTTATTCTGTAATCCCAGCACCTGACACATAGGTGTGATAATGTTTTATTTAAGTAAATAATTAACTCACTCAATTTTTTACTTTGTAAACATCCTCTTTGTGTGTTAGAATTATTTACTTATGTATTTAAGCATTTGGCATAAGGTAAACTTGTGCTTCTCACATCTTTTGAAATTTGTTTATGAAGAGTTACATAGAGGGACAGAGAGAGAGATCTTCCATCTGCTGGTTAACTCCTCAGATTGCTGCAAAGGCAAGTGTTGGGTCAGGCTAAGCCAGGAGGTAGGAACTTCATGCTGGTCTCCCACGTGGGTGGTAAGGGCCCAAGTACTTGGGGGCATCTGCTGCTGCTTTTCCCAGACATTAGCAGGAAGCTGGATCAGAATTGGAGCAGCCAGGACTCTAATCATTGCCCATATGGGATACTGACTTGCTGGCACTGGCTTTACCTGCTGTGCCACAGTGCAGTTCCCTGCTGCTCACATCTTAATGTAGCTGTGAGACACCTGGTAGTCTTGTTACAAATGCAGATTCTGATTCAGGTGGTCTAAGCTGGGCACTTAAGAGTCTGCATTTCTATAAATCTCCCAGGTGCTGCTGCTGGTGTGGTTTAAGAACCGAAGTTTGAGTAAAAATGATATAAATCAAACATCCATGTGGGATGCTTTTTGTATCATGTAGTTACAGTAATTGCATGCTATATATACATTGGGTACAGTTTTTAATGTCTTCATCTCTTTTTATTTTAAGATTTATTTATTTGGGAGGCAGAGTTACAGAGAGAGGGAGAGAGAGACAGACAAAGAGAAGTCTTTTATCCGCTGGAAAACGCCCTAGATGGCTGCAACAGTCAGGGTTGGGCCAATCTGAAGCCAGGATCCTGGGGCTTCTTCTGGGTCTCCCACGTGGGTTCAGGGGCCCAAGAAAACATGGGCCATCCTCTGCTGCTTTCCCAGGCACAAAGACAGGGAGCTGGATCAGAAGTGGAGCAGTCAGGACTCAAACTGGTGCCCATGTGGGATACTGGCACTGCAGGCAGCAGCTTTACCTGCTATGCCATGGTTCCAGCCCCTGTCTTTTCTTCATATTTTTGTCTTCTTCAAAGGTTATAAAATTGCAATGTATGAATTGTAAGAACTGGGAAATATTGGTTATCTCATACCATCCATCAGAGATAACCGTGATTGGCATTTTTAAAATGTATTTATAGTATACAATCAATATTACAAAAGTAATTATTCTGTATAATCTTTGATTTTCTTTTTTAATTAATACAGTGTGAACACTCTTCCACATCACTAAATAATCTTTTAGACATTCTCACAGAATATGAACTTTCTACAGCAAATTAAATTCCATTTTAATTTAATCAGTCCCTTATCATAGAACATTTATTAGGTTGTTTACAACTTATAACTAGGATAAAAGCATCTCATTGAATATCCTTATATCTACATCTTGGTTAACTTGTATTTTTATTTTCAAAGGGGGGCATTATGATTCCACACTGTTGAAACATTTTGCCAGTCACTTACCTGGAAGATCATACCACTTTCCAATTAAACAGAAGAGTGTGAGTGACTATATTAACCCATTATGTCCTATCATCCTCTAAATAGGACAGCTATACTTATGTTTAGCAATCCATGTACTGCGTATGGCACTTTGAAGTAAATTTTATTTTGTTGAAATATTTGCAGAACTGAAAACTTGGGACTTAATAGGATAATGGAATCTATTTACATCGGTAAAGACTATATCTGAAAGTATCTCACCTTTGTTGGCAGGTACGCTAATAGACTTTACAAATATGACCACAGCTTTGTGAAAGCTATCAATACCATTCAAAAGTCTTGGACTGCAACGACATATACGGAATATGAGACTCTTACCCTCAGAGATTTGATGAGGAAAAGTGGTGGTCACAATCAGAGAATCTCAAGGTAATAAAGCACATATCTCTAGTGCCGCTAAGAATATTGGTGTTGAATGTCATTTACCCTTCCACCAGGACCTGCTTAGTTTGCCACTGTTTTATTGGTCATCTCAACTTAAACTTTTTATGTTATTTTTTTGGACCATCTCCCTTTCCTATTGATAACATTCTATTTTTCTTCAAGTCCTGCTTATGGATTTTGCTTTCAGCTGTGAAAGTCATTTCCATTACTCCCTTTTTATTTCCTATACAGTGGTTTAGGACTTTGTCATCTCTCTCCTGTGCTTTGGATTAGTGTCTTCTCTCCTATCGCTTTGGTCTCTTTCCTTTTCTGTCCCCATTCTTAGCTGCTCTGTGAAATTCTCCAAGCTTCTCTTCCTATGTACAGCAATGACTATCCTACAGCCTGTTGAATAATGTTTAGCTTGGTATCTGAAGCATCAAAATATGCCTTTAATTATACCTTGATCTACTTTCATACAATATGATGCATAATTATCAAAACATTCCATTTGCCTCCATTGATGCCAGTTTTCACTTCAAATACACTTTGAGTTGCATACAATAACTGTCAAGTTTGCCACCTATAAAATATGAAAATCTAAATCTTTTCTTTGTTTTAAAGTCTAGACATACAGCTACTACCTTGTGCAGAGGTGGTATTTCTCATCTTTAGCATACATACCCCATGGTGTTTTTCTTACTTTGGAAAATTATCTCATAATACTTGCATTTTTGTAGTCAGGAATTTGGGTAGATTTAAAAAAAATTTATTCAGCACTATAGCTGAATCTAGGAAAGAGTATATAATTCCCTAATATTTGTTAAATAACTAAGGCTATTCCTGTGATGCCATACCTTGCTTTGGGAGAATTTGATAATATAACTAAAAGATGGGTAACTGGAATCAATAATGAAGCTAGTGGGAATCAGTAAATTATGCAGGTGAGTTCTTTTCCTCTTAATATGTTAAAACATTTGACTTTCAGACAATACAATGGTCAGCTTCTTCATATAGGGAACTATAGGGATCATGGCTCAAATTGTTGTTATTTGCACAGGCTGCTAATTGATTAATTACACAACTAAGGTGCAGCACTAACTTTTTCATCTGCAGACTAATAATCTTAATGCTGTGGCGTTTTTCAGTTATGAAACTGAGGAGTTTTTTTCCTGTCCAACTGAGAGTATCTTTCCATAATCCAAAAATATCCTATTGTATTTCTTAGAGGGTGTTTCTAGGAAACTGTGAGTCTTTTAGATGCTCTGTTTAAATGATTGGAAATGGGAGCATAGTGTTCCCTTCTCGGATTCACCAAGTGGAGTCCTAATAAGTTTGTGTGACACAGGAAGTTGAGACCTGTTTAGCAACAGTAATCTAAAGGAGCAGTTGGAAGAGATGTGTTGTTAGCATTTGAACCTGGGGAGACTGATGCTCCTGTCTACAAGATTTGAGCTCTGCCACGTTTCCAAGGCTCTCTTACAGGTCTCCTGTCTCCCCTACTAACCAGTTTTGTTTTAGGGAAGGTCTAGTTCTATCAAGGGATGCTTTTGTGACTAAAGTTCCATAGAATATTTACATTAAGGGCATAGAATTGAGATACAAAGGAAATATTGGAACATATAGTCTGGCCTCCAGATTTTTTTTTTTTTTTTATAGTAGAACCCATGATGGAGGCATGCTTTTCTTGTGTCTGCTTGAAAAGAGAATGTGTCCAGGGTTGCCCATTTACTGAGGATATTTGCTGAATTTTTTTTCTTTTTTTTGATAGCATGTTTGTGTATAAATTAGTTCTGTTGTAAGAATCCAGTGATTCAATAGAAATTCTCAAAGATTCTTACCTGAGATGTGTAGGGGAGTCTGTGAAACTGCCATAATTATAGATAAAATTTATTGTTTATGGGCATTTTCTAAGGGTAGAACTTTGACTGGATTCCTAAGGGACTGGGTTCAAACGATTAAGAGCTGGTAACATACAGTACTCTTAAAATGTTTTTAATTCTCACTTCCCCATCTCCCAAACTCCTCTTTCACTGTGTTCATTCTCATACCATGAAGCCTCAGTTCCTTCATTGTTTTTATTTTGGGTGTATGTTCATTGATGGGCAAATACCTTGCCTTATAAAATGTAAGGAAGAAGATATTTGATAATCACGTAAATGTTTGAACATCTTATTTAATCCTCTTAATGACATGGATGATGATGGTAGATATCATAATGGCTGCCCTTTATTAAGAACTTCTGAGAGATGGGCAGTGTTCTAAGTACTTATTAACCATTATTAAATTTAATTTTCATAATAACCCTTTAAGATAGTTATGGTTCTGGGCATTTTAATAGGAGTAAACTATAGTTGTATGATGTTAACCACTGTGTCAAAGGTCAAATAGCTAATGAGTGGTGAAGCCATTTGTAGCCGATCAATATGACTTTGAGCTGATACCTTGAATTACATTATGCTGTCAAATTTAAATTTCTCTTTTCTTCTGTGAATTACTTACCATATTACTTGGTGTATATAAGACAATAAGTTAAAATGTATGGATAGATTAAATTTTTTGGTCTTTCGGTGTGAACTCATAGAAACAATTTCCTTTAAAAATTTATTTGTTGCTTAGTTTTTATTCATAAATCTCAGAAGACATGTCCAAAGTTGTTTTCTTCTCCAACTCTGTAAAATCCGTGGTGCAGTTTTTATGTGCCTTAGTTATTCCTTAGACATTATCTAGATTGTGTATTTTACACTATTATTTCCTCGTATTTATTACAGTGATTTTTGTCTATCAATATTGTCTTTATGTCTGTCAACATTGTCTTCCATATCATCAAAACACCGTATGTTTAACTCTAATTCATACGGATCTTCAACCAAAGTGCCTGGCTTAGGAAATATTTTTGTGAACAAATAGTTGATGCTTCATAGAATTTGCTGTCTAATCTATAAATTTTCAAGGTTAGGACTGCTATTCTCAAATGAATTGTTGGTTTTTTGTTCTTCCTTTTTGTTTCCTATCACTTCTGTCAGTTTCTCCTGTGTCATCTCTGAGAGAAGTATGTCAGTGATAGGACAACTCAAGAATCGGGGCAGAGGGCATGTTGTCCACTAAGAATCTTTTCCAGTTGTTAAATTGAAACCTAGTGATACTAACTGGGTAACCATATTAAAAATAGTGTGGTATGGCAATGCCAAATGGAACAAAAGTTCAAGTAGCTTATACTAGTATATAAAAAAAAAATGCTACCATAGTGTAAGAAAAGTGCCCTAACCAAAGTTGAATTAACATAGAGAGAGAGAAAGAGGAAGTGAGTTTTTGTAGGGAGTTGGTGGGTAGAGGCTACTCTTTGAGTTTTTAAAAATGTTAGGGGGAAACTCCAAGGGGAGTTCTACATGCTGGCCAAAGTGGTAGACAAAAGGAGCAACAGCACAAAGACATGTCCTCTGCAGGCTCAGGGAGACTCCAAAGTCTCAGGTAGTTAGAGCTGGAGTGCTGGTGTGTGTGTGTGAAGTCTCTATACCAAGCTGCATGTAGAATGATTGTTTTTTCATTTCCAGAAAATGTGTGTTTTTCACAACTTGAAAATTTCCCTGGTGTCTTACTATATATCAAAGTATGTGTACTTTTATTTTGATTTCTCTGTAGTTAATGGAGCTAGTCTGCTTACTTTATACTCAGAATTTTTTCTTTGTCGGCTTCATTTCTTTATTATAAGTACATGATTACCAGCCCCACTATCTGCTTACTCAGACGTCACCAATGTCTGCGTTTTCTCTGTACTCTTTGTGTGCTCAACTTCTCATTACTCTTTTCATGGTCAAAAATCTGTCAAAAGTATGTAAAAGAATGTAGCTATTCTAGCATACTAAATATAGCATCACAGTGATATGAAAAATAAGTGCATTTTACAAGGAAAAATAATTGGATTTTGAAAATTAAATTAATGAAAGCCATTTGCACAACTGAACTTTATAGTTGACACAAGTACAATAGACATGTTGAAATACTTGGAATAAGTGCTCTTTGGGTCTAAAATCTAGATCCTAGCTACTACTGTAATGATGAACACCAGACAATTAGAGGTTAGAGAATCAATCTCAAAAGAAAGACTGTTAATATCTAATGTGTATTTCTATCCTAGGCCCAAACCTGCACCACTGACTGCTGAAGTACAACAAAAGAGTTTAGATTTGCCAGCATCTTGGGACTGGAGAAATGTTGGTGGTATCAATTTTGTTAGTCCTGTTCGAAACCAAGGTAAAAAAAAAATCACACACAAATAACACAAACAGAAAAGTATATATTTATTTTGAACTGTTTATTGAACTTAGATATGTGCCAGGCTCTGGGATGGATTTGGGGCTACCAATAGAGAATGGCTCTGACCTATTTTAATAAAGGAATCAAAAATAATATGATCTGTGAGTTCCCACTGCTTTGTTCCATATTCATTACAGACTTGGTAATAGATAATCTGTCCAACTGAGCTCAGATTTCTTCATTTTCCTTCTCAATATATGTCGCAGGTAGCTAGTGACAATCAGAATGATATGTAAGTCAGTCATTTTTCTCCCAATAGGAGAGACCTCCTATAGAAATGAAGAATTGAATGCAATTAAACATGGCCTTTCTCCTGCAAAGGGTGTGCTGGAATCCTTTTTTTGCTACCTGTTCTTCCATTTCCCTCATTATTTAGTCTTTAATTACTACAGGAGCCCAGGAAATAGATCTTTAAAGCTTTTGTGGTGGATTTTTTTAGCTGCATAAAGACTTACCATTCACTTCACATCAGAATATGATCAATGATGATGAGTGTTAACCCAGCTTCCTGAGTAGTGGCCTGGGGACAGAGCTAAGTTTTACCAAAAGTATGACTGTAATTGTGTTTGATCGATCATTTAAAAAAAATTAGATTCCACATGAGTTTATTTAATGACACTTCCTCTGAAATCACTGGATATCAGATTTTATTGTTACTCTAAGTTTTAGAGAACAGTATCTTTCAGAAGCACTTATACAATACAGGTTGGTCATCTGCAATCCAAAAATCTGAAATCCAAAATACCATGAAATCTGAAACTTCTTGCGAGGATGCCTGAAAAATTTAGGATTTTCGAGCATTTCAAATTTCAAACTTTATCATTAGAGACATTGAGCTGGTAAAAATTTGTACAAATATTCCAAAATCTGAAAAACCCTAAAACCTGAAATATTTCTGGTTCAGCATTTTGGATAAGGGATGCTCAAACTAGATTCAAGTTTATTAATTCTGAGTTCACTTGGAAGATAATCATGCACATGACTTATTTGTTCCTATGAAATAGGTGTAGAGTTTGCTGTCGGGAAACATTCTGATTAATGTCTTCTGGGAGGATTATAAATTTATAATACCTGAAGAGAAGTTGTTCTTCTGTCATCCTAAAATCTGATGATGGCCTCTTCTGCTTCTCAGCATTTGTTACCTGCCCTTCAAGCTCCATCCTCATGAATTTTTGCAGTCTTTGAGCTGGTCTTCTGCCAAACAGCAGGATGCTCATCCTTCATCTGATACCAGGGATCTCATCTTTCAGCCTTTTATCAGCTATTCTGAGGCTCAGGAACTATAAAACATAGATCATGAAATCCTTCCCTGCCTACTGTTTCCTGGGAGAACTTCTTTGGAAAGCTGGGATTGGAAATGAGAGAGCTTTGAAGAAAATTGAGAAAATGAGTGGAGCATGAAATTGAAGCTTTGACATTAAGAGAGGATTACAATTTACCCTACCTAGCAAACAGATCTCCTATGCCTGTTTGGGAGAATTAAGAAAATAATGCATGTCATGTGTTGACTTGATGAATGAGGATGTGCACATGGTTAGTGCTCTTTAGTGAGCTACTAATGTATTGTTGTGTCTGTTAAGGTTACAGAACATCTAATAGAGGAAGGAAAGTCAAATTTCTTTTTTTATATTTTATTTTCATAATTAATTTTTATAAAGAGAACAGATTTCATGGATTTCATATATATATCATATATATATCATTTCTTTCTTGTTTTTCTTTTAATTTTTGCAATAACATTTTCAGTTTAGCCATAATCATAAACTTAATCCTTCACTAAATAAAGAATTCAACAAGTAGAAAGTAGAAAGACTGTTGTTCTGCAGGAGTATAGACAAGGTATGTGAAGAGTAATCACATTTCAAGATGTCAATTTCCTTCATTTGCATTGCATTCATTACATTTATATTAGCAACATAGTCCCATTTATATTAGCAACCACAGTATTTGTCTTTTTAGGATTGGCTTTTTAGGATTGGCTCATTTCACTAAGGATAATAAGGATAATGGTCTCCAGTTGTATCCAGTTTCTTGCTAAAAACAGGATTTCATTCTTTTTTATGGCTAAGTAGTATTCTATCGCACACACACACACACACACACACACACACACACCCCTCACATTTTCTTTATCCAGTCATCAGTTGATGGACATTTGGGTTGATTCTGTATCTTTTTGAGCTGCTATAAACATGTGGGTATAGCTAACTCTTTGAAATGCTGATTTCATTTCCTTTGGAAAAACTCCCAGGAATGGGATGGCTGGGTCATTTGGTAGATAAATTTTCAGATTTCTGAGGAATCGCCACACTGTCTTCCATAATGGTTGTACTAGTTTACATCTCACCAGAAGTATTTTAGGGTACCTTTTTATCCCCATTCTCACCAGCATTTGTTATTTTTGAATTTGTAGATGATAGCCATTCTAATGGGTATGAGGTTAAATCTCATTATTTTTTTTAATTTGCATTTCCCCCATGGCTGGTGATCCTGAGCCTTTTTTCATGTATCTGTTGGCCATTTGTATTTTATTCTTTGAAAAATTCCTATTCCTATCCTTAGTCAATTTCTTAACTGAATTGTTTCTTTTGTTGCTGTTGCATTTCTTGAGTTCCTTATATATTTTGGATATTAATCTCTTATCAGGTGTGTAATTTGCAAATATTTTCTCCCATTCTGTCATTCTGCTTCTTCACTTTGTAGTGTTTCCTGTGCTGTGCACAAGCTCTGTAGCTTGCTGTAATCCCATTTATCTATTTTTGCTTTGATTGCCTGTTCTCCTGGAGCCTTATTGAAGAAGTCCTTGCCTATGCCAATGTCTTTTAGTGTTTACCCTTTGTTTTCCTTTAGAAACTTGATGGTGTGAGGTCTTAGTTTAGATACTTGACCCATTGTGCATTTATTTTGGTATAGAATGTAAGCTACAGGTCTTGTTTCATAACTACTGCATGTGGCCACCCAACTTTCCCAACATCACTTGTTGAAAAAACCGTCTTTTCTCTAGGACATAATTTTAGCTCATTTATCAAATATTAATTGGTTGTAGGTGTGTGGGTTAATTTCTGGGGTTTCTAATCTGTTCTGTTGTCCTCATGTCTATGTGCCAGTAACAAGCTGTTTTGATCATAACTGCCCTGTAATATATCTTCACATCTGTTATTGTGATGCATCTAACTTTGTTTTTATTCTTTAAGATTGCTGTAGCTATTTAGGTTCTTTTGTTTCTATAAGAATTTTAGGGTCTTTTTTTCTAGATTTTTAGAAGAATGTCCTTGGTATTTTGATTGAGATCTCATTGAATTTGTATATATATATTATAATATATATTTGTATATAGTATTGACATTTTGAATATGTCAGTTCTTCCAATCTGCAAACATGGATGATTTTTCCATTTTTTGTGCCTTCTATGTTTTGTAATTTTCCTTAATATTTTGTAATTTTCATTGGAGAGAGCTTTCATGTCCTTGATTAAATTTATCCCAAGTATTTAAAGGTTTGTGTAGCTATTGTGAATATCACTGATCTTACAAGTTCTTTCTCAGCCATGGCACTGTTTGTGTATACAAATGCTATTGATTTTTGGGTACTGAATTTATATGTTACAACTTTGCCAAACTCTCTTGTGATCCAGGAGTCTCTTAGTGGAGCTTTTTGCTTCCCCTATGCATAGGATCATGTCTTCCGCAAACAAGGATAATTTGACTTCCTTCTTTCCCATTTCTGTCTCTTTGATTTCTCTTCTTGTCTGATGGCACTGGCTAAAACTTCCAGAACTATATTGACTAGTAATGGTGAGGGTGGGCATCTTTTCTGCTTCCAGATCTTAATGGAGGTGCTTTGAGCTTTTCCCCAATTCAATATGATGTTGCCTGTAGGTTGTCATAGATTGCCTTGATTGTGTGGAGGTATGTTCCTTCTGTACCCAATCTGCTTAAGGTTTTCATCATGAAAGGATGTTGTATTTTATAAAATGCTTTCTCTGCATCTATTGAGGTAATCATATGGTTTTTATTCTTCAATTTATTAATGTGATACATCACATTTATTAATTTACATATGTTGAATCATTTGTGCATCCCAGGGATAAATCCCACTCTGTCCAAGTGAACAGTTGTTCTGGTATTTTTAGATTTCATCAGCCAGTATTTTATTGAGGATTTTTTGCATCTGTTCATTAGTGATATTGATCTATAGTTCTCTTTCTCTGTTGTATCTTTTTCTGGTTTTAATTAAAGTGATGCTAGCATCATAGGAGTTTGGGAGAATTTCCTCCCTTTCAATTGTTCTGAATAGTTAATGAAGGATTGGAATTAGTTATTCTTTAAAAGTTTTGTACATGGAGCTGGCACTGTGGCACAGCGTGTTAAAGCCCTGGCCTAAAGCTCCAGCATCCCATATGGGCGCCGGTTCTAATCCCGGCTGCTCCACTTCCAATCTTGTTCTCTGCTATGGCCTGGGAAAGCAGTAGAAGATGGCCCCAAGTCCTTGGGCCCCTGCACCCACATGGGAGACCTGGAAGAAGCTCCTGGCTCCTGGTTTTGAATCATCGCAGCTCCGGCCATCGCGGCCATTTGGAGAGTGAACCAGTGGATGGAAGACCTCTCTCTCTGTCTCTTCCTCTCTCTATAACTCTGTCTTTCAAATAAATAAAATAAATTAAAAAAAAAGGTTTGGTACAATTCAGTGCAGCCATCCAATACTGGGCCTTTCTTTGTTGGGAGGGTCTTTATTACTGATTCAATCTCCATCTTCATTATTGGTCTATTTAGGTTTTCTGTGTCTTCATGCCTCAATTTAGGTAAATGATAAATTTCATGTGTCCTGAGATGTATCCTTTTCTTCTAGATTATCCAATAATTTTTTGGCCTATAGCTATTCGTAGTAATTGCAGATGAGTCTTTTCATTTATGTTATATCCTTTGTAAAATTTGCTT